TTTTTAAAAGACTGAAGCAGGGTCGGGGAAGTGGCAGTTGCGTGTAATTTAGCAAATGCAAGTTAAAAAATGTTTGGGCGGAAAATAAACCAAAGCCACCCTAAAAATAAATAATATAGATCTTAATTTTTAAAGGATTGCGTAAAAGTTTAGGAGTTTGGTTTGCGTAATCTGAAACCAAAAACAACAGTGCATAAGTGTTCGCAAAAAAAAGCTAAAAAATCCTTTGGTTTATATCAAGAAAACATAAAAAAAGGAGTCCCCTGGTTTTTTTCAACTCTTCACCTTGGTTTTTTCCCCCCAATTAGATTTGCCGCACAAATTTTTGGGCACCGTATTACAGAATGGATAAAAATTTCTGGGAAAAAGTACCCAAAAGGGGGAAAGGGCAAAGTTTTTTCCCTTTTATCAGAAAAACCTTCCCTATGAGGGAAAACTAAGGGCCCCCCGAAAAATGCCTCTCTAAAAGGAAATAGAATTAGGGGGGGTATGTTTTAGGTGTAAAAAAGGGAAAAAGGAATAAAAAATTGGGGGTGTAATTTTGTGCTTTAAAAAAATTTTGCCTTTTTAAAAGGACTCGCCCGCAATGGTTTTAAAATTGGAAAAATTTTAGATTCAGGAAGGATATAGGAAAATACTGGTTTGGAATAGAGTTGTGGATGAGTGGAACAAAAATCCCAAGTACCCTTTTAGAGGCCCCGAACGTTTTTGTAGCTTTTAAAAAAGGTTGGAAAAATACAAAGGTAATGTGGGTGGGTGTGAGTTAACCTGATAGCTTGTTTTACCAGGGCGGTTGCCAAGTTCCTCCCTTAATCAATTTGGGCCTGACCTTACAGGTTGGGTGCATTGGCTTAAACCCGGGAGGAGGGCTTTGGCGTGCCTGCATGGGGCCCGTAGGCCTCTGCAAAGGTTCCATCGTTCTTAAGTTCTTTTGTTCTTAAATGTTTTTTTTAGGGGGATAAATGTAAAGGACCGGGGGCCAAATATGGGCCGCAGGGGCCCCCTGCATGTTCCCCCTTTTTTTATGTTTTATTTACTAAAGTTATGTAATTCCCGTCCCCCCAGCCTACATTCCGAAGCAACGTCTACAAATATTTCCCCCATGTTGCACATGTATCCTAATTTCATTTGATTTATTTAATGGATAACAACGTATGTTTGGGTGTGAAATTTTAACCCGTTACAGTCGCCTGGGGAAAAAACGTGTCTAAAAGACACCGTCATGTTTTTCCCGACAAAAAAACCACCAACCCCCGCTACCCTCACACGGGTTTAAAATTGATAATGGTATAAACCTTGGTAAAAAAATAACCCACAAGTTTGGGTTTAAAAAAAAAACGTAAGCAAAAAACTATAACATATTTAATTTTAAAACGTTTCCCGGGCCCCGGGGCCTTTATCAAGGTTTCCCCGGAAAGAAACGTTTTCTAATAAATATGTTTTTTAGTGTTTGGCCTTTCGTGTCTTTTTAAACCAAAGTTGAAAATATATAAATATGTCACTGAAAGGGAAAAAACTAAACTTTTATTAAAAATTAATATTTTTCTTTGTTTCCCGTTTGTGGAATTTTGATCAATAATAATTTTTAATATTTTCAAAAAACAATATTGCATAAAATTTTAAAATTTTTTAAATTTAAAATTTTTTTTAGGTTTTTTTTTAAAAATGTTTTTAATGGGTATTTTTAATTATTTTAAAAAAATTTTTATTTTTAAATTTTAATTATTTTTACAATATTTTTTTATAATTATTTTTTTTATTTTTTAAAACCCGGGTTTTAAAAATCGACCCCATAATCTGGGGAACTTTCGTTCACCCGGTTTTGTAAATTTTTAGTTGTAATTTACAGGGGTGTGAGGCCAGTTAGTTAAAAAAAGTGATTTAAAGGGAACATGAAATAGTAGACTTTATGAATTTTAAATAAAAAAAACCTCGCTTCGTCTCCATGGGGGATCATTTCTGGGGTTTTTTATTAAAACGTATATAAAGGGCTTTAAAATTTTCTTGGGGTCGTTGAAAGAAAATTGTTGGGGGCTCCCCTCTTTAGGGTTAAGCCGAGACTAATGCAAGCGTAAAAAAGTTGGATTCTTGGCCCGAGGGTGGGGGACATTGTTCGAACCCACACACCTATTCCCTGTTTACACATGACGCATTCCCTTTCCTGTGATTAATTGGGCCGTTAAAAACCAAAAAAATGGAAAATAATGTTTTACTCGTTACGAAGATACAAATAATTATTTTAAAGTCTTTTTTTTTTAAATTTAAAATTTTTTTTTTCAAATTCCTTGGGGGTTTTATAAATAAAGGGTTTTCCCCTAAATTTGTAATACAGTTAGGATAAATTACAATGAAAAATTCCAACAAAAAATTTTTTTCTTAAAATAGAGCAAATACGAAAAAAGCATCAATTTGGGATTGTTTGGGGTTTTACCTACCTGGTTTTAAACCAAAGATTTTTTTTATTATCATAACGAAAGGGTAAACCCCCTTTTGGGTCATACAGCGCTCAACCCAATTTCCACAAATACTGTTGCAGGTTTTAGAATGTTTTGTCACAATTTCTCTTAAAACCGGAAAACGGGAAATAAGTAGTGTTTTTTTTTCTCGCCCCATTGCTGGAGGGGTAAGTCCCCAACCACTCTCTCTACAACTCAATAAAAACACACATTTAACGCGGGTAAAAAATATAGTAGTAAAAATCTCTTTTTAAAAAGATCCGTGAAAACCCCAAGTCTTTTAAATGTTTTTTGTTTTTTAAACCTAAATTGATACCATGTTTAAAAAAATTCCACGACTCACCATCAGCATTGGGGCGCTACAACCCACCCCCCGATCCACCCCACCCGATAGATAGTTTTTTCCCCCGTGTACAAGTTGAGTGGCAGCCCCCAGGAGGCGTTTGGGTTTTCCCCCCTCCAAACGGGAAGGACTCACCACTCTCTTGTCCTCCCGGAAACTTCAGGACCCTCAACTTCCTCATTTTCGGGGGGTTAGTCTTTTTTACTTAATATCTATGATAAATTTAAGATTCATGTTTTTTATAATGTTGGTTTCTTCACATTTTATGTTTAAAAAAAAAAAGTTCCTCTGTGATATTTGTTTGTATGTTTAAAAGCCATTGTTTTTTTTCCCCCGAAAACATCCGATTTCGGATGTCTTTTACTGGCCAAACCTAAAGATTTTTAGTAACCATTATTCCCCACAGATTTTTTAAAAAAATGAAAAGAAAGATTACTCTGGTCCTTGAGGATTGCGGTTTCATTAAACCCGGGTTTTTGTTGTTAGTGGTTTTAGTCTTAAATTTTTTTAATATGTTTATTATACACCCCCTTTTTTCCCAACCGGGGGGCGGGAGTCAAAAAAATTACCCGTGGTACATTTAAAAAGGGCCCAGGGGGCTGGATTTTCCCCCTAGAACCGATCTTCATCAGTAATGGGGCCCCATTTTTTCCATTTGCACATAAAAAAAAATCTCACTGAAAAATATATAAGTGCAAAAATGTAAAGAAAAGGATCCCTTTCCCCAACAAAACCCCGGAGAGCCCGTACAAAATCTTAAAAAAAGTAAACAAAGGGAAAAAAAAATGTGAATAACTCGTAAAAAAAAGCAAGGGGGAGAAACAAAAACGCACTAAATTTAAAACGATTTATTTAATAATTAAAAACCCCAAACATGAAGGGATTTTTAACCCAAATCAAAACAGTGAAAAGGTAAAATAAAAAATTCTGAAAGTGAACTAAAAACAAGATAGGTAAAAAATAATGGGGCGGCAATAAATATGATCCCCTCGTGACATTACAAAATGCTCTGAGCAGAGTTTTTGGATGGTTTTCCCTGCATAAAATCTTTTAAAATTAGCAAATTTGGGGCCCTTGGGCAGAACCACCTTAAACAAACACCGGTGAAATGAAATGTTTTGAATCTGTTAAATAGAGGTGTGCAACAATTTACCCAAAGGGATGAAGTATTGTTAGGGAAGAAAAATGCAACAGGGTTGGTATTTTTATTTCGAAAAGTTTTGCCTAAACAGTAGGGCTTCTTTAGTCGAGTAAAAGAAAAGTTTATTAGAAGCAGAAGATACTTGAAGGGCGATTTTAATCAGTCCATCACCCTTAAAGTTTTGAGGTGGTCAGTCCCTCAGTCTGGGAAGAGCTTTTTTCCGTTTTGAAACAATAGAATTTTAAGTGAAAGGATGGGCCCTTTTAGTGCCTGGAGGTGAGACTAGGGGGGCTTTGGGGGGGCAGGTCCCTCTCAAAACCCCCGTTCCAAATATTTAAAGGGTTTTCGAAGTTGATGGTCTGTACCCCCGAACCCAATTTTAATGTTCGGTATTTAAGTAGTTGAACAGGGACGCTGGAGTAAACCCTGAAATGAAAACATAAAACAAGTTGTAGAAGTCTCGAATGTGACGGGGGGGGAATACAGGGACAGCTCACAGGACTCAGACCCACATGTAATATTGCTTTTCCCAAATTATGAAGGAAAAAGGCCCCATGATTTAAATTTCAATACTTTCTGACAAATTGCAGCCTATGTGGGTCCCCCCGTAGTTGGCTAGGGCCCCGTCCCAAAAAAAAAAACCGCTACGGAAAAATAAGTTCAAAAACAGGGGGTTTCCAACGTTTCAAGTGGTTTTACTCACTCCTTAGGGTGAAGGGTTTTAAAAATAGTTTAAAAGGGGAAAAAACAAATAATTTTCGTTTCTTTAAAAATGTGGTCCCCCAAATTTAAACAAGTAAAAAGAAAAATAAGAATGAAGGAAAAACTGCAGCGTGGAAAAGGGTTTTCGCTTTTTCAAGGAGATGGGTAGCAAAGTAATTTCCTGACAATGCCCAACACATCACCCCCTTCCCCCCAGGAGGGGAAATGTGGCAAGAGGCGGGTAAGCGGGCACTGACATCTGCATTCTTTTGTAACAATTGCTTCACGCAGAAATTACATTATACCGTATGTATTAGCACTAAAATCGCCGCGTTCATTTCCATTTTTTTTTTTACAGAAAAAGGCCCTTACATTGTGCTAGCACCATCGGGGGCCGCATTCTCCCAGCTGACTCGTAAGGAGCTTCGTCAATTATCTCGTGGGAATGACCTTGCTTACCACCTCATTCCCCTTCGAGGTCAACCTGCACCGGAAGTTACAAATGATTCGACTTTCAAAACTCTGCTAGGTCCCGAGCTCAGATTTAATGTGTACGGCAACTCTGTGTTCGTCAACGGTGTGGCAGTATCGAGGGGCGACCTACCCTTCTCCACGGCACCATCCAGGTGAGAGCAACGCCCACTCATCAAGAAAAGGGGTCCATTTAAAAAAAAAAATGAAAATTATAGTGTGTAATATCCTGAGGCAAACACTGCCTCCTCTGCAGTGGCAGCCCGAGTACAGTTTATAATGAAACTTTTAGCTGTATGACCCATAGGGCTTTAGTGCTAGTTTCTGAATATAATAATCTATATAGAATGAATGTTTCTACTAATATTACAAAATTAGTTGTGTCAAGTTAAAAAGCACAGATAGAAATTATGAAGCAAATAAATAAGCAAGAACAACTCATGAATATGCTAAGTCATTTAACTCAGTCAACAAGGAAGAGTCTGTTGGTAAAGACTATTGTGGGATGGGCAGGAATTAATGAACGCAGGTAGTTAGGGAAACCCAACAGATGTATATTTAATGTGTATGATAGTAACTATTTTTTTGTGTTAGAGTGGGAGTTTTATTTTTTTTATTAAGTTTTTTAAATTTTTGATTGTCTGTGTATTTCTGTATATAATTTATTTGCTGAAAGAAGTCTTAGGTCACAGTGTTCTGTAATTTTTACTACTTCCTTAATTCTAATAAGTAATATTCGTAAAATTTAGAAAGGTTATCTTTGTGTTCAGTGATCATAACTTACAGGTAAGTAAGAACATGTGCAACATTTAGGTATTTTTATTCCGAAACGTTCGCCTACACAGTAGGCTTCTTCAGTCGAATACAGAGGACGCAGCGGAAGCAGCAGAGATGTAGGGACTACTCTTATAATCGGTAAATCATTCTCGTAGAATTAAATTTGAGGTGGTCAGTCCCTCAGCCTGGCAACGGATTCTGCTCCATAGTCTGGAGCATTGTGATGCTGATCCACGAGAATGAAGATTTATGTACTGGCAAAGGTGAGACATAGAAAATCTTGAAGGCAATTGAAGAGGCGGAGCTCACTAGTAGAAGTAAGAAGGTAATAATAGAGAGGCACTGCAGAAACCTTGTCTGGGTCCCTCTAAAATTTAATTGTTGTGTTGCAGTGTCAATATTACATACTGTTGTTATATTCAAACCGTCAGACAGACGATATGGTACAGAGGACATTTTCGACAACTTTATTGCCTGACCACTAGTTACGAGTGAGGAAGGTTAGATTTGAGAGGGACCTACCTAGGCTTGCTACACTGCCTCTCAATTATTACATATTTGCTTTTACTAGTTGTCCCTTCCTCTGCTGTCGTCTTCAAGATTTTATACGCCTCACCTATGCTAGTACATAAGTCTTCATTCTCATTCTTGAGCTTCACATTGTTCCAGACTATGGAGCAGAACTTATCTACATCTCACTGCGTCCGCTCTGTATTCGCTTAAAGATGCCTACTGTGTAGGCGAATAGTTTCGGAGTAAAGATGCCTAACTGTTTCTCATGTGTCTTACTTATCTACTTGTCATTATTATATACCGTTGTTGTATTTATAACTTATAAATCTTTAGAAATAATGATAGCTCGTGAAAGTTTAAGTTCTGAATAAATGTAATAAGGTTTTGAGTTCCTGCAATTTACAAATTTTCTAATTAAAGTATCTTCGTCCGAACTGCCTTTCATGTATTTCTTTAAAACTTCGAAATATTTATAAATTTTTTGTTCTTTAATAGGATTGTTAGGCTAAGTTAGGGTTGTTAGGCTAAGTTAGGGCTGCTGAAGTTTAGATTAATTATATTTTTAACCTCTATTTACGTATAATTATCCGACAATGACAAACTACAAAGTTGAAAAGTCTTATCGTGTGAGAGTAGGAAAATCGCTTTTATTTTTTTTATTACACGAAGCTTATTAAGGCTGCGTATCACTTGTATGCTCCAGTCAAAGATATTTTAGTTTGTAAAATATAGATTACAATAAACTCCGAGCCTTATAAGCAGTAATACACTATATAAATCCCCATGTATATATTCTCTCGAAGAGGTAGAGAAAATTATCGGTCATTCATAGGCCTTTATTTCCAATCAAGGCTGTCATAGGACATAATTATTTAAGCAAGTCCTCGCCAATGTAACGTTCAGGAAGTTACACTTTGCCTATATTTGTTTGGGAAAATTCTGTATGTGGCAGAATGTTTTTTGACCCCTTGAAAGTCTCTTCTAAGTAATTATTACTATTATTTTTATTATTGTTGTTTTTTTATTTAATGTGATGAAGCAATGGGAAAACGTTCTAGTCGAAATAAATTCCCTCTGTGTGAAAAGGATTTGGGAATTGTAGTTTGCAGTAATCTAAAACCAAGAAAACTGTGCGTAAGTGTTCGCAATAAAGCGAACACAATCCTTGGCTTCATATCAAGAAGCATAAATAATAAGAGTCCTCAGGTTGTTTTTCAACTCTGTATATCCTTGGTTAGCCCTCATTTAGATTATGCTGCACAGTTTTGGTCACCATATTACAGAATGAATGTAAATGCTATGGAAAACGTACAAAGGAGAATGACAAAGTTGATCCCATGTATCAGAAATCTTCACTATGAGGGCAGACTGAGGGTCCTAGAAAGGCGTAGAATTAAGGGGGGATGTGACTGAGGTGTATGAATGAAAAACAGGAATAAATAAAGGGGATGTAAATAGCATGCTTAAAATATCTAGGCAAGACAGGACTCGCAGCAATGGTTTAAGTTGGAAAAATTCAGATTCAGGAAGGATATAGGAAAGCACTGGTTATAAAGTTATGGATGAGTGGAACAAACTCCCAAGTACCGTAATAGAAGCTAAAACGTTGTGTAGTTTTAAAAATAGGTTAGATAAATACATGAGTGGGTGTGGGTGCGTGTGAGTTGGACCTGACTAGCTTGTGCTAATAGGCCTGATGCTGTGCTTCTTCCTTAAGTGGATGTGACCTGACCTGACTAGGTTGGGTCATTGACTTAAGCTGGTAGGAGACTTGGATCTGCCTCGCATGGGCCAGTAGGCCTGCTGCAGTGTTCCTTCTTCCTTATGTTTTTATGCTGAATCACTTGAGTAGGGATACCCCCTGCTCTCAGAGTTATTGGCTGGTGGGGGGGGGGGGTCGACCGCTGCATACCAAACACTACCCGAGTATCATGTTAAGTAGTCGAGGTTTCTCCCGAGGGCCAGGATGTGGAGGGGATACCCGTGCACATGCTTAACAGTTCATAGACCTGTGCACTGGTAGGCCAGCGGATGCCTTGACACTGATACCCAGAGCCCATACCACAGTGGTAGCTTCACTCAGCGGGTCAGTAATATATTTCTGCTTCTTAACAAATACATATACTATTACTGGAAACACCAACCCTCAGTGCTACCACTAACATTACCACCAAAACCACAACCATCACTATAATCACTACCACCACCACTACACCAAACTTAACACTATCACCACCAACATCACCATCACCTCCCTCACCACCCCACTACAGCCACCACCACTACCACCACCATCGCCGCCAGCACCACTACCACCCCTACTACCACCACCACAACCGCCGCCAGCACCACCACCACCCCCACTACGTCACTCACCACCACCACCCCTACCACGCCCATCACGTTCCTCACTATCACCACTCACTACCACCCCCACCAGGTCCTTCACCACCACCGAGCCACCGCCACCACTACCGAACCATCACTACAACCACCACCAAACTACAACCACTACCAACACTACAACCACCACCACCATCATCACAACCACCACCACCATCATCACAACCACCACCACACCATCACAACCACCATCACCACCTCAACCACCACCACCGAACTACCACTACCATCTCCACCACTACAACTACCACTACCACCACAACCAACACCACATAAATAATTCTGATTCCATTTTTTCAAGCTATAAGCAGCAATCATTTTTAAACGATCAATTATAGACCTGGATCAAAATAACACTCTAAATAATAGCGAAGAAAAAAAAAAGTACTGCAAGAGAACACGCTTTTATTGGATCTGTTAAATTCCCTCTTCAAGGCATACGAGAGTCCCCGCAGCTCCTCTGTGCTGCTCCCCAGACAAAATTGGGTTTCATTACCATTTTTCTTTCAATTTTATATTACTATAGTCGTATAGAACGTACCAATACTGGATTATATATATTATATATTTTATATATATATAATATATATATAAATATATATATATATGTCGTGCGAATAGGCAGAACTTGCGATCTTGGCTTAAATAGCAACGTTCATCTTGCCATATAGGACAAGTGAAAATTTGTGTATGCAATAATTTCGCCAAAATCATTCTGAACCTAACGAAAAAAATATATTTCACTGTGTTTATTTAGTATTAAATTATTGTAAACAAATGTAAAATATATTTAGTTGGGTTAGGCTAAAATAAATTGTTCTTGTTATAATAAGGTTAGGTAAGTTTTCTAAGATTCTTTTGATGCAAAATTAAAAATTTTTACATTAACATTAATGAAAAAAATATATCTTTAAAAGTATAAGAAAATTTTTTAGAAAGGACTTAATTTTAAATGAGTTCTTGTTAACTGACCAGTTTTACATATTCGGCACGACATATATATATATATAATATATATATTATTATATATAATATATATATAATATATATATATATGTCGTGCCGAATATGTAAACTGGTCATTAGAAAGAACTCATTTAAAATTAAGTCCTTACTAAAATTTTCTCCTATACTTTTTAAAGATATATTTTTTTCATTAATGTTAATGAAAAATTTTTTTTTGCACCAGAAGAATCTTAGAAAACTTACTAACCTTATTATAACAAGAACAATTTATTTTAGCCTTAACCCAACTAAATATATTTTAGATTTGTTTACAGTAATTTAATATTTAAAACAAACACAGTGTAAATATTTTTTTTTTCGTTAGGTTCAAAATGATTTTGGCGAATTATTGCATACACAAATTTCGCTTGTCCTATATGGCAAGATGAACGTTGCTATTAAGCCAAGATCGCAAATTCTGTCCTATTCGGCAAAGACATTTATATTATTATAATTA